TAGGGGACCTTAATCAATACAATTTAGCTTCTCTCAGGAACTGCCCCTGTGCCAGCCAGAGCTGGGCTCGAGCCAGATGCCTTGTAGTGTCAATATGATGCTCAAACACCAGAATTCTCCTGATACCTTATAACACAAAGCCAATAACAATGTGTGTTACTGAGAGAGCTGCAGTTGGTATCTCACAATAATGCAAAGATTTTGTACCTGCTTCAGAGCTTTTAAACAATCTGTGACAGGGACCATAAAAAAGAAAAGTTACCTTCTTCCTCCAATCGCAGCAACTCTCGGGCAGAAAACAGGAAATATTTTGCTGAAGTACTCACACAACAGTGAATGCTGAAAAAGCTTGTACACAGCATGCAAAAACCTTGCTGTTCCTTTTGTAACTGAGAGCCCTTGGCGACACACTGACAACGTTTGAGCCACAGCCATAAAAACAGCAATAAAAATATACATTTTAATGGAACTTGAGGAAGACTAAGTCTTTTATTTTATACTTTTGAGTCTGTGCTTTCTAGTCTGCTTTTAAATATACTGTTATTTATCTAAACTCCTAGGATTTTTGCACACCTAACTCCTCGGTTCATAAAGCTGACAAGTCCCATTGTGCCTCTGAGACATCTACCTAGAGAAGGACCCCTCACTGTTCGAGGAAGAGATTAATGCAGGCCATTCAGTCAGTCATCCTAAACTCAGGTACAGGTTTTTTTCACACTCCCTTTCATGAATGTAAACCTTAAGTCACAAAATACGCAACTAAACAGCGCAGGAAGAACTGCAGGGGAAATGCTGCCTGGAAGAAACGAAGGACTCCTCTGATCCTGTTCCACAATCGACAAAAAAGTAAATTAAGCACTGAGGAAAACAAGAGGCAAAGCAAAACGAGATGCATCCTCATAGCCACATCCTAATAGGATCATTACAAAACTGGCTGGCTCCTGGCAGGGATGGGGGTACGGAAAGGGATAACTGGATGGGGAAGAGATAAATCAATAGGGATGACTGAAAACCGATTCAGAGCACTGAGCTCGCTCGGACTTCTCTTGCATTTTCTCTTGATTAGGCTGACGGGAACTGAAGATGAAAATGCAGAAGTGCAGAGGGTGTCCTCTGGCAGCCGGCACGGCTGTCCAAGCCTGACCAGAACACGGTTTTATCTGTAAAATAATGTAAATTAGCTGATGATAGTGCACAGCGCGCTGGTTACTGCAAATGAGGAATCTGTAAGGAAGTTAGGATCGGTATCAAAACAGAGGAAAGAAAGTACACTGCTTCTACAACACACTTCTCCTCACAGTCAGAAGTTATCATGCTTAGGTAGAGAAAAACAGGAACCCTAACTGCCTATAACTGCTAGAGAATATCAACTCTAAAAAAGAAGGTGGAGGGCAGGGAGAGAAGGGATGAAAAGAAAATTCCAGAAAGGTAATTCAAACACATGTGGTCAAAAAAGCAAGGCCTGAAAGAAAGCTCTAAGGGTCAGTGTAACACAGAATGGAAGGACTGCAGAGTTTGGAAGCCTCCCTGTGACTTAAATTACAGATGGTTTCCAGGAGTTTCCTTAATAAAATTTGTCTAGGGAGAAAATATTGGTGTCAGTGAGGGGAAAAACTCTGATTCACGGAAAATGGAAAAGAGAAAGGCAGCTTCAACCAGGAGTCAGTCATCAATCTATTTCTTAGACAGAGTCTTGGCAAAACCCATCCTCCTGGTAGAAGTTGCCTGGAGTAGGCCAGATTGATTTGACAGTCTCTTAGCCTAATAAATGCTTGACCTCAAGGTCTGCTGAATTCACTAAATTCACTATGCAGAGAGAATTGGGAACCAATCACCTCTGGGGAACATCCTGTTCCGCAGCCCTCCCCTGATAAAGGCCTTGACTGCTTTCAGCCTTATCGAGATGACTGGATGAAAGCTGCTCTCAGAAGAAGAAAGGTTAATCGACTACACTGCTGTTAATCAATCACTTGGAAAGATGCAGCACTTACAATAGGTAGGTCCCTCTTCCTGCCAGGAGGTTCTTGCATGTTAACCAGGGACCATCTCCCTCCAGTCTGAAGGATGGGGAACAGACAGAAACACAATCCAGAGAGATGCCAGGTGTCTGATCCAAAGCCAGCTGAAGTGAATAGAAAGACTCCTGGTGAGTTCAGTGGGCTTGGACCAGACCCCGAAGAAAGACTCATCATCCCAGGTTTATTCTGCATACATGTACAGAGCTACTTTTAGCAGCGAAAGATCCTTGAAAAGAAGCAGATTCATCACACACTTCTGCCTCCCTGCGAAATCAACTTTCTTCAAATCATACTGTGTCCCATTTACCCTGATTGTCAGATATGGCTGACATCCAGCAAAGGAAAATTACCTGCCTGTGACAGCACAGACAGACATTTCAAAATCTCTAAGGAGGACAAAAAGAAAAAATGCCAAGCTGCTAATGTTTTCCTGGCCTTTTTGTAATAGCTGCTAGCCAAAATGATAGCCTTCTCAGAAGAGGAAAAGCTAGATCCATTTCTGAAAGGACAAAGGAAAACTGAGGAATAAGATTTGAAAGATCCTGGCATGGAAAAGAAAAGCTCAGTCCTGAACCAGCAGTGGTATGCAAGGTGAGGCTGACAGAACTTCAGAGAAGGAAAAGTACCAAGAGAAAAACACAGTTAGAAAGTATCCCTGAAGATTTACTTCTGTAAATGAACAGCTGTATTCAGCACCAACATCAACTGAGGCTATGGGTATTTCCTTCAAGCAACAGATAAGCGAAACAGAGTCATCTAAGGTATGCTAAATACACGATTTCTATGTACCCCCCCCCCCCAAAAAAAATGCTTTTTCTAAGGAAGGACAGCCATGCTCCTTGCCAGTAAACACCTGGTTGCCAAAAACAATTCCCCAGTCCTCCCACTGCTAGCTGAAAAAAGCACACTAGACAGATTCTGATTCTGCATCAACATTCAAAAGTAAGGACTGATATATATATACATATATAAAAAAAACCCTTTCTTCTTTTGGCTCAATTGATAAAATAACCAGCACTGCAAGCAAAGCAAGGCAGGTATCATTAAAGAGGGAAGGCACCTATATATTTCATAGGGAAACCTGACAAGACATTCCACATGCAAAAGTAAGAACTAGATTTAAGAGGCACAGCAGCTCCTTCCCCAGAAAAGATTTTGGTATGGCAGCCCTATAAATCTGAAAATTTCAGCTCCACAGCTACGTGGAATGCATGTTGCATCAAAACACGCAGCAGCACTCTAGGCTGTACTCTGCTGTAACAGCCTAAAATTTGGTTTTCTATAACCTTTGTATGAAAATAATGTCAAAAGTTAACAACCCACTGAGATAAATGTGAACACTCTGCGTCTCTCCGGGTCTCGTTGACACTATTGCAGATGCAGAATCATGAAGACCGGGCCTCATCTTCTCATGCTTGAAACCGGATTTTCACAGCCATAATTCTATTTTGGAAGGAGGTTCTGCTGTTCTGTGTGTAACTGCACGCAGCAACACCAGCAGAGAAATGGAAGGAAAAGTCTGAGTGCCTTATCGGCCCAAATGACACCCCGTGAATGGCACGAACAAAAAATGTACTGAGAAACAGAAAACTTCTTACTTACCCTTAGCATCGCTCCCCCAGACTGAAAACCACAAAAATTCCCTTAGGCCGCACATTTAAAAATCTTGCAATTTTATTTGCATATAAAGGCTGCTAGATATAATATCACAATAAATTTAAAGAAACAACCGCTTTTCTAAATTCCATTAACAAGGTAACATAAAACAGAACAAAGCTCAACAGCATTTACAGTGGAGGAACAGAAATAACTATCTGCAACAATATTTTGTGCTAGCGAGATTGCATTTACACACAGTGCAAAATAAGAAAAAGGAAATAAAAAAAAAGACGAGGAGAATATTTAAATATAAAGGACAACTAAGCCTTATTTTATTTAGGCTTGATTGTATCCATTCGACTCTATACATGCCTGAACTACAGCAAAGATTTAACTCGGGCTCTTGAAGGCCTTGAGCACTTGGAAAAATGTGTCACATCCTTCATAATTTAGATGTGCTGTACAGCATAATTTTGCAGATGCTATACTGGCAATATTAAATCCTAGCTTAGTTATAATGCACAAAAAATACATATATATATAAATTCATATTTAAAAGGAGTCCGCATTTACAATTTTTTTTTTAACTTTTTTTTTACTGCATGAAATACCTGCTCTTTGCAGCTTTCACCCCCAGTCTTTTAAAGCTAAAATAATTTAAAAAAGAAACAATAGAAGGCAGATATCACATACAGGCTGTGGCTATCTAGATCAGTCTTTATAAAGCAGGTAGAGACAAACAACTGAGAAGTCTATTCTCCCCTTGCTGCATTCTACTGTGAACAGAAACAAGTTTAAGTACATGCACACACATCAAGAGGTAAATGGACCCCAAAATATTGTTTGTGCTACTAAAAAAGAATTGATATAAATGGAGATAAAAAGCTAACATTTAGACCTAGGGAAAAAGAAGACGCTTAAAAGAACCTCGACAATAACATAAGTTGTGCAAATTTGGGTGTTTTTAAATGCTGCCTATTTTTTTAGCTTATAATATAATATTAAAATAAGGTCTCTCACTTATTAAAAGAAAGCTTGGCTGTCCTTTTGAGAACACTATAACAATTTACAATGGCAAATTTATCGAAAAACAAAATTCATTTTACAAATTCACAACGCTTTTATCAATTTAAAATGAACGCTGCATTTCCAAAAAGCACAACCTCTAACTTTTTCTCCTTATTTGTTTTGCACCAGCAATTTACAAAAAAAAAAAAAACAACCAAACAAAAAAAAACCCCAACAAAATAAAAGAAAACAAAAAACAAACCCCAAAGCCCACCCCAAAACAAAAACCCCCACGGTTCCCCCCAAAATCCTCCTCCTCCCCCCACCCGCCCCCCCAGCCCCCAATTTCGAAATAAACACGTAACTGAATGTAAGTTTTATAATTAGAAAATGGCAGTTTATAGACCTTCCCCCGGTTCCAAATGTGCAGTAGTGCTTCAGGATCCTTGAGGGGTGGGCAGGTCGAATATAATCGGGGGGTTGGTGGGCTGGAAGCTGACCGTGCACGTCGAAGCGTTGATGTACGTCGTGTACCCATCTGTCATGATGCCATAACCTGTGTGGGGACAACAGAGGCAAAACCACACGTGTTCTTTTTCTAATTACTCAATTAGTGAGCTGCAGTCAGAAGAAAAAGACCATTCAGAAGCAAAAGATTGGGAAGTAACTTTTGGTTTAGTCTGCAACGCCATCCCCCTCTGGGAAATGACCCGAGCCCTGTAAGCTCTCCCTCTGCTAGTCCTTATTACCCAGTTCCTCCTCACAGGTGGTGTTCATGCTGGCTCCTGACACCTCAGAAACTCATCAGCAGGTTAAAAACGCACACATACACATTTTCAGGCTGCCCAGGGAAGCTCCGTCCCTGGAAGTGTTCAGGGCCAGGCTGGATGGGGATTGGAATGAGATGATCTTCAAGGTCCTTCCCAATCCAAACCACTTTATGACTCCATGATATATATATATACACACACACACACATATATATACATACACATATATATATTTTTAAACTATTTCTACAAAAATGTGTGTATTTTCAGCTGACATCCACAAAAAAAGCGAAACAAAGAAGCTTGGAAAAAAAAAAAACAAAAAAAAACCAACAAACCTTGAAAATGTATTTGGCACCAAACGTACTCGAAAAAATAATTTTGAAAACCCCCAGAGTTTCCCGGAGGAAGAGAGCTCCCCATTGCAAACCCACAGAGGAAAAATGTTTTTCTTTTAAACCATTATGATACAGTACAGATCACTGCTGTCTGAAAGCTAAGATAAATACAGCTACCCACAGTGCCCATCAGAAAGAATAATCACTTCAGAATTGCTTCACTGTCCACCTGTATTACTTTATTTATTTAGAATGGCAATTTTGATTTAGATCGTCTCATGGTGGGAGAAACCTTGTTTGTGGTTGTTCTTGCTTATCAACCAGGGAAAAAAACTGCATCCCCAAAAATGTGTGTACAGTCTCCGTTGATTTAAGGGAATGTGGTGCATGTTCATCTCAGCTGGAGTTGGATGAGAATTAATTGAACTGTAAGATAATGCTTTTAACACTTTGCTATTTCTTCCTGTACTGAAACATGCTGTTCTTACGTCTTCTCTGCAAGTACTAAATGGGATTTTAACTTTTTGTTGTTATTCTTGTAAGAATTGTTCACTTTTCATGTGTGCTGCCACCTTTCCTGTGAGATTTAAACGTAGGGTGCTGCACCTGGTTCCTTGGTGCTTTCTCATAATAATGTTCTTGTACATTAAAATATCTTCCTCTCCCACTATTTAATATTATTACAACCAGAAGTTTCACCATTTAATGTGCCTACTAAGGCTGTGGACAATTTACATGTTTTAGCTGAAGTCTTGCTATATTCACTTATTCTTAATATGCAAGGACTAATATTTATACAAAATATCCAATCTTTTCTTGGGTGCATTAAGACTGTTATTTATGTCTGTACACTTAAGGTCATGTCAGCATTCCCAGTATAAACTCTTAATTTGCAGATGCCAGGCATGAAATTCACTGTAGGGAATCACAAGGGCTTCAGAAAAACCAACACCACTAGTTGAGAAAGCTGTCCTTTTTTTATTTTCCTTTTATGAAGTCCTCCAAATCTTTAAGCTTATGGAGAACCTAGTTATAGACAACGGAGAAACCTCCAGGGGGAGAATATAAAGCATTTAATGTGTAATTTTGAGTTCCAGGGTCACAAAGTCTCACACTCTCTCCCAGGCAGAACTCCTCGTGTTTGTCTCTCAGCCCCATTGAAAGCTATGACATTGTATTAAATATTTAAGCATCTCCAGAATGTATTTAATCTCTCAGTCTCTTCCACTGCCACAAACCCGAGCTCATTGTTTCTGAAGCTTCACACTCTGCCTGTCCTGGCACTGACAGTGGGGAAATATCTCTCCTAAAACATGAGACTCCTGGAGGGTAGCACAGAGCACGGAGTGTGTTACAGGGCGCTTTTAGAAATGCATGCACAGTGAGTTCTGGCAGTGTCTCCTGATGCCCTCCTTTCTGCTTCTCCTTTTGCACTGAGGGAGGTGAGCTGAGACAGTGAGCTGTCTTTGATTTTCTTCTCCCTCTAGCACCTTTCTTAGCTCCTGCATTTCGAGCAATGGGGATAATTTTCATTTTGGCTTGCAAGTGTGGGGAATCTCATCTGTTCCTCTAACCAAGTTTGTCACAACTTGAACTGCTTTCAAATAACCTGCACGGAACAACCTTTGCACAGTGAGAGGTGCAGGTGGCTAAATGTAGCGCACACTCCCGAAACAGTCTGTTTTAATTCTGGCATAAATTTACCAAGCACTGTGCGTGCAGCCACTTCCCTCAGCTCCTTCCCTGCTTTAGCCCAATATGCCACTATCCATCCACTGCGATTCACCATCAAAACGTGCTCCTTGAAACCTGTCTGAGGTCGAAGTGGGGAGTTAGTACTGCTCCTCACCTTCATGAATCCCACCAAAGACGTGGAGTTTGGGCCTCACTCGCCTCTGCACCGTGTTCAACAGCTCCACACAACCCACTCTCTGCAGCTCCTTTGGAACCCAGTCTCGAAAACCTGAAGGCAAAATGCAATCAATACAAGTTAATTTTCTCTACTCAGGTAAGCTCTCACGTAGTCTTTCAGGAAGTCATAATTCACAGTAGGTTTATTACATTATCCCTCGTCATAACCTCTCCATTAAGGCACACAATGGCTTTTAAGAAATGTTTCACTGTCACTTTGTCTTCCTTAAGATTTCCTCCTTTCATCTGCGTTAATATTTTTCTGGATGTGATTTGTTTTTTTTTTTAAACTATAGGTTTAAACTCATCTTCCACCTTGAAACCCTGGGACATTTATTCCTGGCACTGTTGCAGATTTTTCTTCCCTTTCCCCTGGCTCTTGGAGCACTCAGCTTCCCAGGCCAGCTGCGTGGTTATTCCAGAACCGAAACAGTTCTGGGTATGTGATTGCCTCCCTTAATATTTACTTACTGAGTAAATAAGTAAACAATAAATATTTATTTAGAAAGCAGCATTTTGTCAATATTACCATACAAGCTGAGACCTAAAGTCCCCTCATTTTAGGCACAGCAGTAACACCTAGTCTGTGTCTGTAGCTAAGATACAGCGCCAACCTCTTAAAACTGAACTTTATTATCTCCATCAAACACGAAATTTAAGTATGCTTATTCAATTAAAGCACTCCTTGGTGTCTGCAGCATCACAGTGCTTCTGTATGAACCCAATTCAGAGCAGATGGATTAACAACCCATTTAAAACAGCACCCATGAAACATTATAAACACGCTTGTGGGGGTTCTTTTTTTTGCTTCTTTGGGAAAATAAAACTGATTAAGAGAGTGCTGCTCAAAGCACTGGTTTGCAATATCTGCTGGCTCCAAAGCCAGTGGATGCTGCATCCCTGTTTTAGCTCAGCAGCAAGGTGGGAGCTCCAGTAAGGTTAAAGAGAATTTGCAGATCACCTTACGATGTTCTCTAAGTAGTATTAAAAAAAAGCAACCAGAACATAAAAGGAACAGTAATTACACCGGCCAAAAAACTTTCAGGAATTTTTTTTTTCCCCTTAGCTTTGCTTAGATTGCTGACTGTAAACTTAATTGTGGTGCAAAACATAAACATGTACTAATTCCCGAATCTACGGTCACCAAGAAGCTCTGTGAGGTCACTGAGCCAGCCTGGAAGCATTTAAAATGCTGCTTTACAATGGCACTTACTAAAACCCTGACAAAAATCACGGGAAGGGTAATGAAAAGTGCCACCCTTGCTTATCCTGGTAAGTCATATTTATAAAAGACAGATGCTCAGCTGTAACCCCCCCTCCCCAAAATACTTACAATACAGTCCTAGACTGCTTGCCATATGTGTCTTACAGAAAAGCAGGAAATAATATGGGATACTGTCTTCTGGGGTACAGGATAGAGGGAAAACAGCGGGGCTTTTCAAGTGGTTTTAGTGTGGGCTTTGATGACTTCAGACACGCCAAAACTGAGTGCTCCTGTCTCTGCTAAACGAGTCTCCTCGTGCCTTTCTGAGACCATCACAACCTAGTTTAGATCTTACAAGCTAAGATGGAATTACTCACAGCGACAAGGCAAGCAGAATTCAACTAAATGAGAAACTTTTAGCCACCAAATGAGAAAACACAAATTGTGCATTCCCAGAATGGTGCTTACCCATCATTAGTTTGAGAAAGGAACAATTACCTAAGAACATAATTTTATGTCTTCACAAATTTTTTTATAAGCCAATTGATACCTTTAAAACTACTGCTACATATTCTACGTTTACAGGGACTTTATCAAGGAGAATAGGTGATTACATACTCCTAAACTCCTGACTGCTTACTCTCAAGCCTTAAAGTAATGGGTCATTGTGGTGAGAAAAGTTTTTAAAAGTTTTAGTCAATCTCTAAAAAAATCATATGGGATTGGAAACTGCTTGTCAGATGAATACTGTTCTTAAATAAAATGTCAAACTATAATGATTATTGAGTCAGGTATTTGATCTTCCCTAGCTTGACTTTAACAAAAAAATTTAAGTTTTTTATTGAAATTCAATAGATCAGCTAAGCCTAATCATCATTTTCCACTTCTTCCAAAAAGGTTTTTAATCCACAGTTTTGAGTTTGGGTGCAATTACAGTATAGCTTAGAGCATTATTAATTTTGCTTATTCTGAAAGTAAAATTCTCATAAAAAAAAAATCACACAGAGCTTTTGTTTCACTTACCAAGGGGAGGTCCATGTGTCATTAGTATATCAATTCCCTCAGGAATAAGGTTCCACTTGTCTAGCAAAGACTGACCTCTGGGTAGATTAAAGCCCCATCCATTAAACCATGGTGTCCTTTGGGGGGAAAATAAGACAAACGGCATCAGTGCAACATAAAAACCTCTTTCCTTTTCCAATTTTTTCCCAAATTAAACCGATTTCTGTGCTTCAGAGATCGCTTGCAGACAGCCTTTTTGAAGGGGGATGCCTCTAAAACACACCAATTCAAAAACTTACATACATTAACATATACATTTGAATTTAGATTAATGCTATTTTTGTACTTTTCAGAGCATTCAGCCCTGGGGGCATTTACTCACTAGAGGGAAAGGGAAAAATGTTAGAATAACACAGTCTAAACCTAAAGCTTTTTCCCCCCCAAAGTTTGGGGATGTTTGAACACAAGAACTCCTTCCTCATGCTAATTACCAAAACAAGCAAAAAAATTTCCCAAGCTTTTTGGAGGCAAATATCAATTTCTCACAGCACAGGGCAGCAGTAAGTAACTGCTCAACAAGATGCACGAGGTGACACTTGTAAGCACCATCTGTGCTACGGTGTCTCACTAAACTCCAACTTGCTCCTTTCAGCACTTTTAATCCCAAATTACTGTCACCTCTCTTGGTTTGGAACTCCTGAGCCTCCTAAAGATCTCCATCACACAGTGTTTAGCCTCCTGACGACTTTTTAAAAAGAGATCTTATAATTTAAAAGGAAAACTGATATTCTCAGTCTTCTCTGCCATAGCATAGCATTGTTCTGAGACACTGGTTTAACCACCAATCCAAGCCTTTAGCAGTGATAAATGGACCTTCTAGGAGTACAGGTATATCATAACAAAGCCTTTTCTTATCCAATAGGTACACACAGCAATTGTTCTGAAGAGATACTATCAGATTTGTATCTGTTAGTAACGAATTTCATACAGCTTTTAGTATTGTAATAATTTTAAGGGTTTTCAGCCATGGGCGCATTTCTGAGAGCTCAGGTAAGAGATTTACACTCCATTTTCTAGGTAGCAAATTCCTGTCCTAGCCCTAGTCATTGGGGTGCATCTTTCTGAGAGCTCAAAGCTACTCCTGAAGTCTTCTGTGTACTGCAGTTCTGAAAAGAGAAAACAAAAATTGGGGCCAAAAACCAACCACAAACCAAGCCTAAAGAAAACCGTACCTGTTAAAGAGAGAGAGAGATCATTACAGCCCCATGTAATTTCCTTATGCAACCTGCCTCCTCTGCCCTCTAAATTATTCATTTTTTTCCAGCCTCAAATATGCATTAAAGCGGGAACGTCCTGCTGAGATTGCGCCTCTAATTTTTATTTCTTTTTTTGTAATTAAAGCACTTTGTTTTCCCGAGACAGTGCTTCGACCAGTGAAGATTATACCCCGTTACATGGATGATCTGCATTCCTGACAGTCGGCAGTACGGAAAAACAGCAGGCACTGCTAATATAGGGGCAGGGAGGTCACTGGTGCCTTGGTGACAAATAATAGACATATCCCACGTAGTCCTACTGAACTAACACTTACACTCCACACACACACAGGAACTCATTCAAGCCAGCAGACTTCCTGAATGAACACTAACAAAAGATAGGGAAATCAGACGTTAGTCAAACATTTTATGTGAGCTGAAGGTTGTGTCTTAGCTTTAACCAAATCACAAGAATTTCTGATTTTTGTGGGGATTGACCTTCCTGAAACATGTATCTGAATTTCCTTTCCTATAAGACTCCTGTGTTTTAACATAGCTAAGTTATCGTAGCCTCCAAGGCTGCAGTTAAAAGTTAAAATATTGTTTGGCTAAACACTCAGCTGCTTAAAAAAAAAGAAACAACAAACACACAGAGAATGGGTCGAACTTTTCACTGTCAATTAATGATTCTTTCCCCACTTGCATTTCTCCTGAAGATAAGACTGTAGTTATTACACCATAGTTAAACCTGAAACATGAAACCACATCTGTGATTTCTCTGGGGCTCTTTGGAGACTACAACCACAGAAAAGGCTGGATTTGTCTGCAGGTTTTTTATTTTCTTCTGAAGCACTGTGTAAGGAGGAGGGGAATCTGAACTCAAATATATTCCTCATTCACCAACTTCTGTAATTAGCTGTGACTAACAGGCCTCGCGTGGGAATCCACTTGCAAGAAAACTTTCAAGAAACCTTCCTGATTATGCAGCGTGTGCACAAATAAAAGACGGTCAAATGCTTACTTAACATATTAAAGATTTTTGAACGAAATGAATAAATCCAGGAGAAGGGCAGGCACAACTGGAAGAACACCTGGGTTACAGATTTCGGCTTCAGGCATTTAAAACCCCAAACATTGCATATTCAGTGACAGCACTGCACAGACCAGGCAGGTTGAGGGTTCCTGCCTTCCAGGGGTGGGGGGGAACACCACCACCAAGAAGAAAAACAGCTCTCTGGCACAGGCTCAGGTTTAGATGAGATCACAGGGAAGGTCACCCGATGTTTGCACTGGGCTGTGTTGCGGCGCAGCCGAAATGGAGTTGATGTGCCGTGAATCCCACGGCGCATCCCGCTTCACGACCCCGGCAGCGCGCAGGGAACGGCTGTTTACCCCCAGCAAAACTTCAGATGCGTGCAGGAAAGACAAACCCTGCGCTGCAGGTAGGCAGCATCCTACCCAGAGGTACTGGATAGAGATATTCTACTCCCATTAATGCCGTGTTTTGATACATAAGAGTTAAATACAGTCACTCTCGGCTTCTAAATATTTTAGAAGGAAAAAAAAAAAACTGTGCATGACGTTAGGTGCCTTCTGCAACATATTTTCAAGCTGATTACTCACTGTGAGAAACCACTTCCCATCTAGGAAGAAGTGCCTGTAATGAACTTTGGCTGCACTGTCAGGGTTTAAGCCCAGCTGGCAACCAAGCACCAGGCAGCCTCTCCCTCACTCCCTCCTCCCCGTGGGATGGGAAAGAGAATTCGGAAGGGTAAAAGCACATACACCCACCTGGGGTAACCTCTAATCAGGTGCAAATAATTAGTAAAGGTTCCTTGGTCGTTAGTAGCCATATTTCAGATCCGACCTGAATTTCTTTCCTACGGAGCTCTAAGTAAAAGCAATTTCAGTTAACTCACAAAACGTCGCGTTCTTCATTTTTTAAGTACCGCTGGCAAGAGCAGAGAGATATCAGCTGTTGAATAATGCCACGAGGGAGGCGTAGACGGAAAACCCACGGGGGCCGGTAATGAGAGATTACAAATGATTTTGTCATTTTACGTTCGATGGACCGGAACGCGTCCTCACGCCCCGTGCCCCGGCGTGTGCAGGGGGGAACCTAATTGAGCCCGCGCTCGTCAGGACCACGCCACACTCCACAGCCTCCTCCACGCGCCATCAAACCCTCACGAGATAATTCCTGATCCCCGGCTCACCTGACAGCTCGGCCCTCGCCTGACTGCAAAGCTTCCTGATCGTTTGGGGATAGCGGCTCTGCCGGCACCAGCTGTGACACAGGGAATGTCCTCGTGAAAGGCAGACACCTGGCCCGTCCCCGCTCTCCTACACAGGAATCCCCACGGATCCCCCCTCCACCTGGCATTTTGGAAGCTACATTTTCTGCAATTAAAACTGAGTGCTTAAAGCGGGAGGCTGCAAATTATCTTCACACCTTGTGCTGCGAGGGATGCGGGCGCGACTTGGCGCGAGGCCAGGAAGGATGGAATCTTAAGCTTCACAGCAAGACTCGCCCTCCCTGTACAGGTGCATTGGGAGAACCCCTGGAGGGGACACACAAATCCATCTGCTTTTATCAGCAGAGAGCTGCCTCTTCAGCAGGTGACTGGACCTCCCTTCGCCCAAGTGGACACCGTATGGTTTCATCAAAACCCAAAGTGAACCAAAGCCAACCCACAACAAAAGCTCAGCCGTGGAGCGTTATTTCATGACCAAAAAAATCACAACTGCTCTTAGCTGTGCTCCTCAGAAGCAACACTGTGTGACATGAGGGAACAGGAGACACAAGGCCACGGCCAAGTTCACCCAGGCGATACAGAAATTTCAAATCATTCTGCAATTTTAATGTTTTTAAAGGATGGTGTCTCCTACAACCTACTTTCATCTCTTCTCTGGTTCATGAATTTAATTACCTGATCCTCAGAGTTCAACAACTCAAAAGGTAAATGTACAGTGAGACCTTCTAGATTCAGATTCTCCTCTTAACTCCACCAGTAAATCCATTTATTTCAATAGTTACTTCTAAACAGGATTAGAAAAAATAAATTATCTCGTGGTTCTTTAATCCCATGTATTCATTCATTTTTAAGGCTCCCCAGTCTTTGAGGAAAGCCTCAATTTTATCCTTAATCCAATGAGCAAAGTGCACGGGAGGCAAAAATCTCATTCTGCCTCTTTCCACAGGATAACAGCCAAGGGAGAGCGTCTAAAAGACATCACAGCAGGAAAGCGCTTCCACACGACCAGTAACGGTAATGAAACGCTCTTTTTTTTTTTTTTTTTTTTTTTCAAAACTGAACACACAGGCCTGGCTCGGGAGGGAGAGCCACAGTTCCAGCAGCAGAACAGAAACGGTGGGACAGGACACGGACATGCCCTCCTAGACTTGCTCAGCTGCAGGACCGTCCTACAAACACGGCCCCAAAGCGTCTACTCCGGTGCTGGGCGAAAGCTGCGGCCCCGCCGTGGAGCAGCAGAGAGAAAAACCACAAAGAGAGGAGTTCGGGGGAAGAGTGACCTCTGGGCAGGGAGAAGAAAAAGCCTTTCAATCCCCTCCCTCCGCCCCGCACAAGCGTTTGCCAGGGCCGGGCAGCCCGCACGTGCCGGTGCCGCTCCGTCAATGGGCAGAGCGTGCCTACTGGGAATGCACAAACAGGGACTGCCAGGGAGAAGGGGAAGGAGGAGAGCGTGTGTAATCATGGAGACAAAAGGCTGAGCAAGGGCAAGTGCGCAGTGTATTGAGGAAGCACATTTTACAAGGGCTTCTGTTAAGGCTCTGAAGCTTGCCTTCGGTGCCACAAACGTACATTTGTTTCGGTTTTTTTGTTAAGCTCCTTCTCATAGTCAATATGTTCAAATGCTTT